ACATTGCATGATATTCAAATGGATGCATTGCAATCTTTTCAAATTAATAAGCACGCCACTTATCTCGGAATTGTATTAAAATAATATCCATAATAGAACATATATGGGTTTGTTTAACCATGCTTTATTTGGGGGGGACAAAAGGCAACAGGACAAATGATGGTGTTTCATACAAAATCATACATACCTAATTTAATTTGCAAAGACATGTCACACCAATACCAGCACAATACCTTCAATTACCGCAAGTAAATGCAGGCGTGAGGCTTTGTCTTTCCTTAACCAGCTGAGGTGTACGTGTTCAACAACGCTGTGGCGGGAGAAAAGTACCAAGGATGTATGAGAGTATGTGACAGTAATGAGTCAGTTATATTAATATCACCTCTCTTAGAAATGCACCCAACTCCAATTAATACAACGATTCTCAGCATCCAGGTGCAGTGTGACGCTGACACTCCCGAAATAGGAGGAAAGCAGTGACGACAGCAATATCTGAAGTACAGCAAGAGGAGTTTGGTTTTTTTTCTCCCACTTTGCTACACACAGCTCCATCAATTATTCCAACATGTTTATTCCAGGCATTGATTAGTTTGAGTTGGTGGACAGTTTGACAAACTGTGTCACCAGTGATGTGGAAAATTCAGGAGATCCTGCCCTTGCACTGCCTCGTGTTTTCATCGTACCTATATTCAATTCATTAAAAAAGGGAAAAGGGCACGATGCTGAAGTTGTTACAAAGCTTTTGGATCCATGTGCACTTCTTCCTCCCTTTCTTACAACCACTTCCTTAATTGCCTTTGCTTCACAATGCAGAGCTGTCTGCTGCCAGTCTCCAGGGAACACATCAGCTCAGTGTACCAGTCTCCATTCATCCCTGCAAAACAATGACATGCACACACAGTATATATATGCACACGTTTCGTTGGGAAAATTCCTTTGCAAAATAAACATTTTACTTTGCAAGTGTCACGCATTAAAGAACGGAAAGTGAAACACTAAGAATACTAAAGGAAGCTGATTCATCAATGTGATAATAAGAGATGGCCAAAGAATGGGCCTCTTGACTTAGGTTACTGCTCAAACTATGTTTGAAATGTAAAAGACAATCAAGAACAAAACGATGGTTTTGCCTTTGACAATGACAATATATGATTTAGGAAATACAACAACATTACTTGGCCATTGCTAAGTGTAAATACAGTCTGCAGTTTTTTGCACTAGCATCGTAAAAATCTATAAATTAGCCGCATCGTTGTTTAAGCCGCAGTGTTCAAAGCGTGTGAAAAAATTAGCAGCTTATAGTCCAGAAATTACAGTAACCCTATTCAGGACTTTCATGTTGCCATACGTATGTGCAAAATATTTGTTGTTATTCATGATAGACTTTTATATGATGTTAAATACATTTTCTGATACGTTAACACATTTATTTCCTTCCTGATTGAGCACTTCTGGTAATGCTGGCTAAAATAGACAGTCTACCCAAGTTAGCCCTTAGTTGCCTTGAGTTATCACCATGGCTGAACAAAACATAATTTAGTCATTAACCCTATTAATGAACAATGACATTAGCATGTGCAACAGTGATACAGCAAAGGTTGTTGCATACTACAAGACCAACCGTATGCCACTTCTATCACTTATTGCTCAAGCACACACGCTTACATATGCACACGTACTGACTTCCTAGCATTGCAAAAGTTTTCATTTTAGACAAATTAAACATCTATGGTTACATTGAAACTTGAATATACCATAAATTTGCCTTACCGTTCATTTCCCGATTGGCAGTCATCATTCTCTTGTGGTTAGCTCTGCGTCCACATTGTCAAATAAGTATTTCAAAATTTAACACGGTTTTGTATATAAAAGGTAACCACCAAGGACAATTTTCATATCCAGTTATAACCCATTTTATCAGACTGAATTTGGTGTGATGAGGGACGAGCTGAATTGTTAATCAAGGGTATTTTTTTAGCCTATAGACGAATGGTTCCCCAAAGTTTCCATCTCCTGGTCGACATCAATCCACATATGTGATGTTTACGATCTAACAACCGGAACTGGCAGAAGTGTGTGCTAAAAAAAATGTCCTCCACATTTGAGTTGAGCCAGTAAATCATCTCGGTGGATACATCATCGATTATTAGTTTACAGCAGATACCGCATGTGTAATTTGCCCGCTATGAAAACTGCACAACAATAGGACCAAAACTAATGATTACTTTCATTGTCGATGAATTTGTTGATTATTTTCGCTAATATTCGATTAACTGTGTTGTCTATGACAGAAAATGGTGAAATGTGTTGAACAGTGTTTCCAAAAGCCCAAGACGACGTCCTCAGAACCCAGAGATGTTCAGTTATCGGTTATGGAGAAGTGGAGAAACCAGACGTTACTCACATGTAAGAAGCTATAAATCTGGAAATTTTTACCTTTTTTTATTTAATAAAACCAATTATTGTATTAGCAAAATAGTTTGTAATGAATTTAACAGCTGAAAACTAACTAATTAATTCAATGTGTGCAGCTTTATAGTATAGAGATGCATTTTTCAAGAATAAAAGATTTGGTTAAAAAAAAATAATAACCATTACAACACATTAAAACATTAGCCAATGTATTAATTTTTACAATGGTTTAGTCATATGCATTATTAAAGCATCTTTGTTCTCTGACTTTTAACTCTCAAACATGAACAATTGTGGCTATAATGCCACAGATTAATACGTAATATTAGGGCAACACAGTCATTATTGCAAAACACTGTTCATAGCAGCATTAATCTGCTGAAATTGCACATCTATCCACTTATTTACTTTGTTCTCTTATTCCGATAACATGCCAAAACAGAACTGCAAAGCAATACACATCATAAAAAGTATCCTTACTGAACACCCAACCTCTGTGCTAAATGGTCCTTTGTCTGCCAAAAACTAATTATAATTTATATTTGCACTTGGTCTTATTGATGTAAGCTCTGGAGCCTAGCAGATGGTTTTCAGATGCAAAGTAAATAAATAAATACATAAAAGTAGTAGTGTGCAAGTTTGATTAAAGCCAATGCATAGCTAAAAAAAAAAAAAAAAAAATCTGTGGGTTTTTATATGTCGTACTGAACTAGCCTTTAAACGACAGCTTATTTTTTTCATTTTATTTTGCATGACGCATGCCTTCAAACTTGTTCTCTCTCTCCCACCCTTAAGCCACAGAAACATGCCACACTTGGTCAGCAGCTCCCTGTACATTATGCATGTAATAAACAACCTATCAAATCCCATTTTCTGTAGTTGTTGCCTCTTTCAGCCATGTGCACTGGCCCAGCCTGACATCCTCCACTACAGGAACCGCACAGAGAGGTCAGCACAGATCAGCTGCAACACGATTGGCCGACGCTCTGTCAGCAGACATCAGAAGACGTACGTTATTGGTCGGTTGTCAGTACCAGGGTATGGACAGCTCCTACACATTGCTACCATGCTGCCTCTCACTCACACACAAACTCAGACTTCAATTCATCGAGTGAAAACGAAACTGCTCTCACACTGTCTCGGGGGCTTTGTACAGGGAAATGTGTGTTTAAAAAATATGATGTTAAATGTGCTCTTTTCCACAGGCAGTTCAAACAGATGACAGAATGAATGCCTCTTGCCCACCGTGTGCCTCTTTTTACAAACCCAGTGCCACTGAATGCCTAATGAAGCTTATGCTAACTTTACGCATGACTCATTTTGTTTTGCTTCGAACCATTTCTTGCTCAACCTGGCATGGACCTGGACAATAATGACCCTTCAGTGACTTCACGCAAAGGATGGTTGGATGGACCTGCACATGACCTACATATGAATCGCATCACTGCACACAGAGCAATATTTACTCAACCCACACTTACTTCACCAACACTGAAACATCAGTCAAGCACAATGTCATACTTTGGAGACACCACCCTGGGAAAACAATGACACAAGTTTACTTGTCGTTATCTTATCTCGAGCTCCTCAGCCTTTCCAATGAGGCTTCAGAGAAAACACTGCAAGTTACTCTGATGGAGCTTTCGTTTCTAGAGCTATAATTACTCAATCTATAGAATATAAAAGGCCAACTATGTTTACTCATTCAGATATTCCACCTTGTCTGGATTTCTTTTTGTTTTATACCACTCTACACATAAAATCTTTGGGTTGCAAGGCTGTTTGAAGAAGCCAACACCTTGGATTCTGGTAGATTATGATAGCCACCTATATAAATCACATTTCATCGTTTGAATTCGCTTTGAAAAAAAAAAGTCATGGTCACTTTAACACAGGATATAATATAAATTATTCAGAGTTAAGTTAGGATAACATGCTGTGTGTTTACTTGTTGGTCAAGGCTATGGATTTGCATAGGCTCCAACATGCAAATCTGCAGTAGCCAGCTGTTACTGAATTAAATATTATATTATTATTAGGCCATGTCTTTTGAAGGAGGTGAGTGATGGTCATGTAGCTGGCCAGCCTGATGGCCAGGCTCCATAAACTACTGGCCCAGTGACTGGATGGAGGAATGGCAGCTGGACGAATGGATGACCTTTACAATACCATCGCGGTGCTGATGCCTGGAATAAATCACAGGAAATCAAGGACAAATCCTCCCCGTTAGAGATGCACAACACAGCGTAGTGCGTCTCCACCGAGCCGCCCAGACTGAATCACGGGTGGCGGAGCAACGTTATTTTTCACGCGGGCTAAAGGCCTGCGTGAATGTGTTCGTTTTCCGAAGCACGACCAGTCATTTGGTGACAGAGAGCCCTGGCATAATAGGATACGGCGAGGTTTAATCCCGGCGAGCGAGGCTGCTGCATGTGCGCCGTTACATCCGTTTAATTCACATTTAGCTCTCTTAGCACCACACCACCACCACCACCACCACCACGTTGAATTTTTGCGGCAGGAGCCAGTTCGCCGCTACACACGGGATTAAAAACGAGGCGCCACGAACGTTAACAGCGCAGTCTTACCAGTTCTCCTGCATCCATCGGATGGCTTCGTCCTCGTTGAACTGTCTCTCGAATTCGTACTCTTGCAGAGCGAGCACCGACATGCTGCCTGGCTGTGCTGTGTGTGCGTTGGCGCCGCTGAAACTAGACGGTCCCCGGCAGAGCTGCTGCTGCTTCTTCTTCTTTTTTTTTTCTTCTTCTCTCGCTTCGCTCTCTTCAGTCCGTTGCTTCGCACACTAGCATCGCCCGCGTTGCTGTCAGGACCTCGCGGTTGTGCGCGAGCAGCTAGGCAGTGGCGGCACCTTCCTCCACCGGCTGCGCGAGCCTACGCCCTCTTCCTGAGCCGGGGGGGGAGGGACTCCGGGTCCTAGCGCCGGCGGGTCTTGTGTTATTTTTTTTTTCTTTGTGAGATAAGATAGCATGACAGAAGATAAGATAAGACTTTATCATTCCCCGAAGGTATTTTTGTTACCGATATAGCTCAGAAAACTAAATTAAATAACACGAGAATAAATGCTGTGCCCAATAGAAGAAAAAAAAAAACAAACAGGAAAAGACGTCCACTTAAGAACAATGTCCGTTCTCCTTTTTTTACATACATTTTTTTTTTTTTTTTTTTTTTTTTTTTTAAATATCGATAAGTACAGTCGTCCTCTTATTTCACTAAATTGGAAGTTAGGACATTTTTATTTCTTATTACTTTTTTCAGTTTCTAGTTATTTGTAGTGACTTGTGAATTTGTGAATTGTGCTCTTTCTTTAATGGAAGGGTATGAATACATTTGAAGAAGACTGTATACAAGAAGTATGCTTAAGTGAACAGATTCAGAGGGTAATTTTATCATAGCAGACTACAGCTTTGATATTATAAAACTAAATGTGAAATCCTGAAGAAGCCCCCAGGGGGTAATCTAACTTCACAAGTCATTTCAGGCAGTACAAACTTTTTACCAATGCATCATATTAACTTTTAAAGTTTTGATGTTGCTCTGATACAAGCTGAAACATAAATGTTAAAAAAAAAAAACAAAAAAAAACATTGATATATATATATATTAAATTGCGTTTGAATGCCTTGGACAAAAGCTAGAATTTTGTTTTCTCATCACTGATATTCATTAAATGAAAAAATAATGCCAACTCAACAGGAATGTTTAGCCAACAGTAGACATGAAAAAGTTTGGGCACCCCTGGTCAGAAATTCTGTTAATGTGAACAATTAGGCAAGTAGAAGATGAAATGATCTCCAAAAGGCATAAAGTTAAGCATTAAACATTCTTTTCAATATTTTAAGCAATATCAGTGTATTACTTTTGTTTTCTACAATTTTTGAGTGAAAAAAATAAAGCAGCACCCAACACCAGCAAAAGAATGGGAGCCCCTCTGGGGGCCGGACTCGGGCCGGAGTGGAGGCGGGGACGGCGGAGCCCCTCTAGGGGCCGGACTCGGGCCTGAGTGGAGCCGGGGACGGCGGAGCCCCTCTGGGGGCCGGACTCGGGCCGGACTGGAGCCGGGGACGGTGGAGCCCCTCTGGGGGCCGGACTCGGGCCAGAGCGGAGCCGGCGAAGGCTGAGCCACTGTGGGGGTCGGACTCGGGGCGGACTGGAGCCGGGGACGGCGGAGTCCCTCTGTGGGGGCCGGACTCGCCCGGCGACGGCTGAGCCACTGTGTGTGCCGGACTCGGGCCGGAGTGGAGCCGGCGACGGCTGAGCCACTGTGGGGGTCGGACTCGGGCCGGACTGGAGCCGGCGACGGCTGAGC